CATATTTGAAGTTTATGAGGCTCAAATGTCATAATGAATCTTTGGTGTCCTCACAGCCGGTTTGAATCTTGGCCTTGTCACTTATTAGCTTGTGTGACCTTGACCATTTTTCTCAACTTCTACCTCACTAAAAAAGTACCTAAAGTACTCTGCCAAGGGATAGACACAGAATAAGTGCTCTGTAAATGACAGCTGTTGTTATGATGTGACCTTCCTTTGAAAAATATAAGGTATATGACTTCATGCAGATTATTATTATAACATGATAAATGTGCTGTTCTTTATATACATTGAGGTGTTGCTTTCGAGTTTCTGGCAGTAAAGCATAAACTTTGATTTCCCGCCCCCCTTCTCTGTCATGTGTGGTTGCAAGTAATAATTGGAAAGGTAGCAGATTGGTGGTGAGAGTTACAGCCTCTGTGATGTTGTAATTAGCCATCTTTTCATCATTGGAGCAGACAGGCTGCGTCTTACACTGATCCTCACACCAGAATCCCAAAATTTTGAAATGCTCCTAGCTTTCATAAAGCTTTTCCTTAGTCTTCTAGTGAACCAATTAAAATGGCAGATCCATGAGGCAAGGACAAACATACAGGGTTTAGTTTGTGTTAGAAGGTGGACTCTAGTGGTCTGGGGCCTCTGATAGGTGATGCTCTGCAGAAGCAGGAGTGGACAGATGAACTTCAGGCAACGGCCTTTCTTGCTATGGAAATGCAGTGACTGCAGCCTGGCACCCTTTGGGGCATTAACGAATATTTCAGTAGCCAGAGAATGTACAATAAAGTATACATCTCCGCACTTCCACCAAGGGAAAAATTGGGATGGGACAACAGAGAAATCTCCAAATTGTCTCTTCTTATATTCCATCCCTTGACTTCCTGTCACCTTCTCTACCTATCTGTCTCATTGACACAGTTACTGAGAGGAAGGAGTTAATGAGTACACAGCTTTATTTTCCTTGGAAGAGAGATACAAAACAGGCTCAAAGCAGGGCTGTCATCACCCTGCAAATCTTCAGGGGTTTTATAGGTAATTATTAACCCTTTGTGGCCTGCCTGGGGGAAAAAAACCCTCTGTGCTACTACTAAGCAACTACTAAGATATTCCATCTATGGTATGTACCTACACATACCATACCTGCTCAATTTTTTTTTCAGACTTAAAATTCAGTAATACTTTAAAAATAAATCTATGTATATAGGCCCAAATGATTGACAAAGTCCCCCAGGTCCTGTACCAGAACGGATCCTTCCCTAACTCTCTTAGCACTGGGTCAGAAGTACCATTCTTTTTGTTTTCCATTTGAGAAAAGTGAGGCTTAAAGGAAATGACTGGGCAAAGGTTTCATGGATAACAGGTCTTGGCTAGAATCCAGGTCTTCTGAATACAGCCCTGGTGCTCTTTGAATGTACTGAACATAGTGTAAAATCTCTTCTCACAGTCAGAAAGCACGTCTGAATCTCAGCATTCTTTAAAACCACCAATTATCACCACCTAGAACTGTCATAAACTGCCCCAGTTCAGTCTCCTGGAATTTGTGTTTTCTTTAAAAAAAAAAAAAAAAAAAAATCCATGCGCTCAATCTGTTTTCTTGTTATTTTGTCATTTGCTTTTCTCCTGCTTGGTGATTTCAGGTTATTTAGATTTGGGGTTTGTCTCTTTCAGTGGGTTTAGGGTGATTAACTGCTGTATTTAAGAAAATCCTGCAGATATTTGGGATGGGAGGGGGGATTTGAGTCCATGCTGGTCCTAGAGGTTGGTCTCTGGTGGATTAAAACAAAGTGAAAAGCCTAAAAATCCCTGAATGACCCCCTTCAAGGAGTAACTTTAAAATTGAGGAGATGGCAGTAGAGGAAAATGAGGACCCACAGTGCCCAAATCAGCTGTTGCTCTGTGCTTAGTGGACCACTATTTGCTCTTTTGTAAGCGGTGACAGAGACTCCCTTAGAAAGCTGCCCTTGTTCTTCTTCAGGTCTTTGTGATTTTAAGTTGTGGCTACAGATGAATTCTCCCCTGAGCTCTCCAAGCCCACACTCTCCTTTCAGTCACAAGCAGGTTGCTAGTATATGGGCAAACTTCCATACATGGTATGGGGAGCAGACATGACTTCATGCTCTGCTGTAGACAAGGGGAACTGCCAAGGCTCAGGCGCCCGGTGCCTGCAAGTGTTCCTGGGTTTTGGAATCCTTCTCTCTGGCTGCGTGGTAACCAGACCACAGGGGCTGCTTTAGACTTGTGAGCACATCCCTAGCTTGCCAGTTCTCAGGTCCAACCTCCCTACCCTCCAAGAAAGTATCTCACAGGTGCACCCACAAGCATTTGGAAAAACATTTGACAATAAATGTCCACTTTATAATACCAATTGTGGAACAAACATGAAAGGTAATTTTAGGTCAGCCTCTCAAGGGATTCAATGAGTTCAGTTTGTTTCTGCTGCATGTGTTGTTTCATTTGAGGTGGGGCAAGGCAGGTCTGATAGCTTTGTTTAAGGAAGTACTCCATGGGTATTCTGCATTAAATTACTATTTTGTGTTCTTTGGTCATGAAAAGTTTCAGAAACCTTGACATAGAGGACTACACCAATTTTGGGTCCTTTAAATTCCATCTTTCTGCTTAGTAATATTATTTTACTGAAAGGCATTGTAACAAAGAGGTATATTTCTTCTTGTCCAGAGGGATGGTGTATGTTTAGTATGGGTCACAAATTAAACATAAAAGCTGGTTAAGCTCTTGGTAGAATAGATCAGGTACAGCCTTTTTCTGATAGTGTTCCTTGGGAATCATATTTGGATTTACACACATATTTGTGCTTTGCTTTGGGCATTACTATTGAGATCTTGCAGAGAGAGGGGGAAGGAGAAAGAGAGAAAGAGGGAGGAGGGAATGGAGGAAGGAAGGAAAACATGAGGCACCAGTAGTTGATAGCATAGTGAATCAGTAGAAGTTGGAGGAGGATAAAGAGGAAGGAGGGGACAAATAGAAAGGAAACCAACAACCACGTGACTACCAAGCCCAAACCTAGTTTTGGTTAAAGAAAAGAAGTTTTCTTGACTGAGGAAAATTTTAACATCTCAATTAAAGCAACCCCTTAGAATGTATCAAAAATGAAGCAATGCTTAAATTTTTTTTTTCTTTCTGAGGAACATCTTCCTTTCTTTTTGGTAACACCGAAGTCAGATTTCAATAGCTGGAGCAAATGTTTTTCAACAGACATGACTCACTTAATTTTTCTGACAATGTGTGCAGTTATGTTAGAAACTTGCATACTCTTGGGAAGGGACATGAGACACCAGCAAACCAAAACGTCGATAGGAGCAGCTATATCTTGATGTGTTAATCTTGTAACTTTTTCACTGTGTGTGTGTGTGTGTGTGTGTGTGTGTGTGTGCGCGCGCGCGCGCGCCGCCCCCCCAGCGGTGTGCCTGCCTTACTCTGCGCTGCCGCTAACACTTGGCTACTACGCTCGGACCAGTAGGAGCCACAGTTAGCAACTTTGTAAGAATTATTATTTCTCTTTTTATTCTGTCTCTTAGGAGTTCTTGATGTATAGCTTCTTGAAAACTGGCTTTAAAAGGCTGTGATTTAAACAAACAAAGCAACCCCTTTATATCAAAGGCTGGAGTGTTTCCAGGATAACCCTTCAGTTCACCAGGGCAGAAGTGGGGATGGAGGTGGGACTGCGAACACCTTTCAGATTCGGTTTCTGCACGCATTACACTTTCATTTTGGTAATCAAGGACATATTGCTAGATTTAAGGGGTCAGGAACAAGCCAGGAGTCAAAAAGAGCTCCTGGTTGTGAGAGAGGAAGGCGGTCACCCCTAATAAAATAACTAAAGATGCCCCCAGCAGTAGATTAGTGAAGTTTTAAATCTGCATACATCTGGGAATGGGTGTAAACTTTAAGTCGCCGGCCCTGTTTGCAGACTGGGAAGGAGGGAAGAAACTTTGAGACCAGAACGCTCCAAAGCGGGAGCATTGCCTTCTTTACCGAAGTTTTCTCCTCCTGTACACCCAGAGGGCACACTTTTATTGCACCTCTCCCCACTGCGCATCCCCCTCCTCCATCAGTCAGTAAGTCCCCTTTAAGAGCCAGAGGCCGACTCTCCCTTTCTCCTCCCAGTCCCCCGCCCTTCACACCTTGGGTGGGAAAAGAGACTGGGGTGGGGTGGCCGGAGAGGCGGGAGGGGCGGGATCATCGTGAACGCTCCAATGAGCGCCCAAACTGGCCGCCGTGGACCCCGGCAGCCAATGAACAGCAGGCGGGGGCGGGGCGGGGCGCTGTTGCAAAGCATCCAACGTGGGCCGGCAGGAGGCCGCGGGCGGCTGAGCCCAGGGGGTGTGTGAGGGCGAGCGGCCGGGGGCGGGGCTTCGGGACCGGCCCAGGCTGGGCCGCGGGGAAGCGAGCGGCGAGAGGCTGATTGTTCGGCCGCGAGGTCTGCGGGGTTCTAGCTGAACGGAGGAGCGTGCGGAGCCCGGAACTGCGCGGGCGCGCTCTGCCTGAGGCGCTGGGACAGCTAGGCGCACCGGGCCCTTGGAGCACTGCGGGGGTGGCCGCGTCGTCCAGCCGGGAGTCTGCAGCTGGACGCTTGGAGCCGCGAGGAATATGCCTACGGGCGCAGAGCTTCTGCTTTGATTCCGAGCTCCTTGCTCGCAGCGGCGGCGGCACTTGGTGTGCGCGGGGACTCCGAAGCGTGGCGGGGGAACGAGGAGAGTCAGCCGAGCACCGTTTGCTGGGCTCCGTGGGGTTCGCAGCGAGCACGGACGGGTCGGCCCGGATGGGCGCGGGGTTCGCGGCCCCCTCCGGGCTCTGCCGAGTAGCCCAGGCACTGGGGGCCCCCTGAGCGTCAGAGTCGCTACCGCAAAGAGAACTTGTGCTGGCAGCCATGCCCCGGCACTGAGCCTAGTGCGGAGCGGAGCTCCCGCAGGCCTGCCCGTGCCGGCGGTCGCCCCGGACTTCGCAGCCCCAGCACAGGGAGTTCGCTGCGCGCTCCAGACAAGATGGCGCGGCCGGTCCGCGGAGCGCTCGGGGCCCCGCGCCTCTCGCCTTGTCTTCTCTTCTGGCTGCTGCTGCTGCTTCAGCTGGAGACCGCATCGGCCACAGCGGGCTCGCGGGCGCCCTGCGCCGCCCCCTGCACTTGCGCTGGGGACTCTCTGGACTGCGGCGGGCGCGGGTTGGTGGCGCTGCCTGGGGACCTGCCCGCCTGGACGCGGAGTCTGTAAGTGCCGCCCTTTACGCCCTCCTCACGCCCCGGGGCGCTGTCACTTGCGGCTGGGGCGGCTGGGGTGCTTCTCCGAAAAGGGGCTACGCTTTGAGTTTCGTGCGTGTCAAGTTTGAATGAGCTGCAAAACTGTTAGTGTGGGATTGTGTTGGTGACATGGTCCTTGGGGATCTGGAGGAGACTGTGCGTGCGAAGAAGTCTGGATGGGAAAAGTGTGAGTCTCGTGAGTGTGTGGCGGTGCACGAGCGTGGGTCTTTGGGGTCTTCAGGCGGGAAGTGTACCTCGTGGAGGGAAGGGTGAGATCGAACGTGGGTCTTTGGGGTCTGAAGGTGAGCGAATGTGGGTCTTGAGGTTCTGGAGAAGAAAAAGTGTCGTGGGGGTCTGGAGGTGAGTGAGCGTGGCTCGTGAAAGCCGCCTGGGAGTTGGTGAGTGGGTGGGAATGTGGAGGTAAAGAGTTTGAGTGAAGAGTCAGGAGGTGAGGGTGTATGTGTGGGTGGAGAGCGGGAAACATCTGGAGGGGAGAGTGTGAGGAAGTCTGTCTGGGGGTCCGCGAGTGTTTCTTTTTCTCTCTCCTGTAATCCATCTCTCTTGTCTGAGCTGCTTGGCCTTCCAGTGGGTAATGAATGAAGGTGACTTTTGGCTCCAGTCTTCCATTTACATCATTTATTAGTGAGAGTGTGTGTAGCTGCCTCCTCATCCACCAGACTGGTGGCCTGACTTGGCTCTGGCCCCCCGCAGAATTCTGGAGGACTCCCCGAGTTGAGTTAGGGGACTCTGAGAGTTCCTGGAGATCTGTGACTGCTGGAAGTTGGTCCTTTCCCCCCTGGTTTGTATCTTAGGGAACTGTGTTCAGAGCCTTCCTGGCTGCTCCCTAGGGGGCTCCTAGGGCTTGCCAATCCAGTGCACCTTGGGGCCCACCCTGTAGCATTTCTCCTCTGTAAATGGTGCAGATAAGTCTTGGAGTAGTGCTACTTCCGGAGAGGGTGCGAGACTCAGGTTTCAGCAGTGTGTGTTAACCGGCAGGAGTCTCATCTCTGTGCTGTCAGGATTTTGACCTATTGGGACTTGGTGGGTCACTTCTCAGCAAAACACAAATACGGAGTTGTGTAAACATAGCAGAATCTCGTAACCTTTTAAAATTTCTAACAAATCTGCTTCATGAGTCAAAATCCTGTCCAGTTATCAGTAATTAACATCTCTGCAGAACTGTTAGTACCTTCCAAAAGAGGCCTAGCTTGAATAGTCTGCTTTTTAGTTGAATAATTGGACATCTTTCCTAGAACATGCAAGAGTCACAGTAGTAACCTCAGGCATGACATTCACTCTTCAAAAAGAGAAACAAAACTGGTGACACCAGTTTTAACCAACACCTGTGGCTTGATGTAAGAACTTGTGGTCTGAGACTCAGACTGCCATAAGGGGAAAGAAGTTAATTCCTTTCAAATGTGAAGATCCTGTGTCTCTGAGAGTGGGGCATAGATCTCTTAACGTTCCACACTGCTTAGCGCTCCATCCTGTGCAGTTGTGAAGCGCGACCCTTATGCACAGGATTTCTCTTCAGTGTTCTGCTGCTGCTTTGGAATTCCTGACTTAGGGAAAACCGGTGGTCAGGTGGTGGGGTTTTAACACAGGTGGTGGTCATGCAAATTAATGGAGGTAGACCCCAGAGTTGCCATTAGGTAGTATGGTATATAGCTGGGGCAGTCTGGGGTATTGTAGGTTTTCCTTTGCATACTCTTAAGTAGTTTCTTTTTTTTTTAATTGTTTTAAGTCATGGGATCAGTAGCTGCTTAAGTGTTCACCTGCAGGAATAGTGACTCCCAATGTCACGTGTCGGTGGCATCATGGGCAAGGCACTGAGTTCAGAAGTGGTGGCTTCCTGGCAAGGACAGGATGGCCTCTTTTTTTCACTTCCTATGGCCACAAGATCCTCTTTGCCTTGCCCTTTAATTTTTGGAGCAAAACTACTGGTTGTTTGGGGGGGCTTTTGTCTCCTAAAGAGTGACATTTCACAAGTCATAAATACCTTTAAAATTGCAGTCTTTTCTCTTTTCCCAACACATTTGCTGATCAGTGAATACAAAACTGGCTATTTTGAATTTCAGGAGACTTGATTATACTGATTATGGTGTTAACTGATTAGATTTTAAGTGAGTAGTATGGCCTCTGGTTAGTATGTGGCAATATGGTATTCAGTACGGAAATGTGTGTCCTTTGAAAAAATGTTTGTGAAGTTTGTTTGTTTTTCTTCTGATTAAAGAACAATTTGGTAAATATTTTCCCCCTCCTCCCCCAGGCTTCACATTTCTCGATTTAGGTCATTAGTCTAATTCTGAATTTTCCATCAGGATATTTGTGTTTTATATTCCTGGCTATGATTCAGTCAGACTTGAGGGGAGAAAGTCTCTGTCTATATATATGATAAAATACATTATAGCTTCACCAACTTTACACCCTCTGAGTCCACTGTGTCTAGAAAGTGCGTTGAGCTAGTTTATAACCCCATGAACTAGATTTACTGCAGCTAGTTCAATTTCAGGCTGTGGGTTTGAGATAGAAGGGGACCTGTGGCTTTACGGAACTTTTTTTTTTTTTTTTTTTGCTTTTGTAAACAGTGCATCTAATTTTGGAGTTGCTGTTAAGCCCCACACAAGGAAAGTAAAACTCCTTAGTAGTGGATGTAAATGCAGTTGGAATAACAGAACTGGAATGGTGCTGGGAGAAGGGAAAATATGTTCATTCCTGGGGCCTGAGGATAACTTATTCAACACAATAACTTATAGGTGTAGTAGTCGAGCCATAACTGAGTCTGCCATCCCATTACGTAGGTGAGAACGGCCTAGTCCAACCAGCACATTCATAAATAGCTCCCAGCTCTGCCAAGCTCTCTTCAAACTTCCCAGAACCTTAGAAGACGTTGCACTTCTTAGAACTCAGATGTTTTCTTTCTTTGAAATTGCTTTGGGGAGTATGGCTTCAGAAGCTGTTTAAGATGCTTTAAACACAATTTACCTTCGACTCTTGTTTGTGGCATTAAGTTGAGCAGGGCCTTGCTTGTTCACAGGGTCTGGCAACTCAATGATGAGCTAATGGTTCTGTGATAGGAAGGCAGGTAGGCCTTGGAGGAGGAACCACTGATTCTCAGCTTGGAGGGAAGATGATTTGGCGTTGGAAAGCAAGGACGTTCCCTAAAGGTCACCGAGTATGGTCATTCTGAGTCACATTAAGACAAATGTATTGATTTGGTTCTCTTTGTGTTTTGTCTCCCTACCTGTTTGCATTACCAAACCCAGGGGACTCAGTCGAACTTCTTTGTCAGTGTGGGCACCTGCGGGGCACTTAGGATTATATTAGAAAACAAAACGCAAGCCCCATGGTGGTTCCCATTGTTGTTGGGAAGCAAAGAGGGCCTTTGTCTTTCAAATTTTACAGCTGTGTTGGAAGACCCAGGTGTGCAGGGTGTTGTGAATTAAGGGTTTGGAAAATAGTTTCCATCCTGTTTATGCAAATTAGATCTAAAGTGCATAAGACCAAATTGTTCCAGAACCAAAGCTAAGATGCACACGCGCGTACATGTGTGTGTATGTGTGTGTCTGTTTTAAGAGGTAGATAATAGTCTGGATTGCCCCGAGTTCTTCCTCTCTGCCCATTTTCCTCTTTCTGTCTCTATCACTTAAGAAGAATTCAGCATACCATGAACATCTAATTCTCCAATTCGTGGGTATGGACCGAGGTTTGTTCTGAAGAGGGAGCTTGTCCAACACAGGGTAATGGCAGAGAGAAAATCTGAGAAGTGCAAGTGCTTTTAAAGTTTGGGGGAGCTTTAGCCTGAGCTCAGAGTCCTTTTCTTTTCAAGTGTCAGAAGCCTGGCTTCACCTCCCCTACATGATGGAGCACCTATGTGATACGTTGTTGTTGTTTAGCCACGAAGTAGTGTCCAACTCGTTTGTGATCCCCGTGAACTGTAGCCCACCAGGCTCCTTTGTCCATGGAATTTTCCCAGCAAGAATACTGGTGTGGGTTGCCATGTCTTTCTCCAGGGAATCTTTCCAACCCAGAGATCGAACTCGTATCTCCTGCTTGGCAGGCAGATTCTTTGCCAATGAACCACCTGGGAAGCCTACATCCCTTATGTTATTTGATACATTTTTTTGAATAAGGGCAAGTCAGGGAAATGAAATTGAGTGCCTTTTTATGCACAGGATTTAAGTCCCTTTAATATGAAATTATAGTCATAAATCTAAGTTTTGAAGCTGAAATTAGGGAGTGCCCAGAGACCCCAAAGTCCAAGGTGTCTCTTGTCTAGAGTGTATGTCAGGGCTGTTCCTGCCCCCTTTTACAAGGGACAGTTTTAGAAGCGTGCTCATCTCTTTTCATATTTACATCAGGTCACCAGATTTCCCAACCTTTGGACTTTTGAATGTATTGTGGGCTGTACTTCTTCATCTCCAGAAGGATGAGGATTCTGTACGGAGTAATCAGATCTGGGTCCCAGTGGATGTCCAGCTCCACGGGACTTGTAGCCCTGCCCAGGGGCTGTAAGTCTCTCTCCCTTCCGATTAATGCCTTGGCCTGAATTCCCCACGCAGCCTTCCCTGAGCACGTTGGGATGACCTCTGGCTGACCTTACTCTCCCTCAGACACCATGCTCACAATGAAAGGGCCTCTCCCCCATTCTGCAGAGGTGTCTCCCTGGTGCAAAGCCTTTTCAGCATCTTCTCTTTCAGTGTGGACAGGAATGCAAGAGAGCCGCTAGGGTTTTGTGCGACTTAACAATACCCCTGGCCTAGCTCTCTGCACCTGCTGCAGCCCCAAAGGTCTGTTATCTGGGGAAGGAGGTGGTTTAAAATAGCCACTGGTTATTTCAAAAGTGACATCCACCAGAGAGGGAAATCTGCTGAAGGGATTCATTGAACTGAAAGTTGCTATAAGCAGTCAAGGATGTTGGTTGTACCAGTATCTCTGGTTTAAAACTCAGAGGGATTCCTGTGACTTAG